GGAGCACACTGGTCAACTCCTTCAAACACAGCCCGCCTCTCACCTCCACCCCCACAGCGCCTCTGCCCTCACAGCAAACAGGAACACCTCTTGCTCATCACTTTAAGCTTCACACATGCATCACAATGAAAACTCCTTCAACCAACAAACACAAACCACACACTCAACCAAACAATCTCACCACGAAACCTAGTTCATAGGACCATTCTACAAATACATACAAGGACCATGAAAAACACACAACCACAACAAAGCCAGGGAACCAGCTCAACCACATACACAAGGAACACTCAGGGAAAAGGGGGCTGCATGTGAGATAGAAATCGCAGGGTGGGGGGCTCAGCCAGGGTGGAAAAGTACTGAACATAGCTTGTAACTTGAATCAGACATAGGGGAAGACCAGACTTGAAAAACAAGTCAAGATAAGGGTGCCGTCTGGGGAATGAAGGAAGTTGAGCAAAGCCTGTCAGGGAGAAGAATAGCCTGAAAAACAGCAGGAATTACACCTGGCCCTCGCCCGGGGGGCGGGCTCTTAGTTCAGTAGCCAAACAATAGGAATAGGACAGATCAGCCAAGGTCGGGAGGGGTGATAAAAGGAGGGACCGCCCCTCCGCCCTTCGCCCGGCGATTGCCTGCTGCTGTGTCAGCTATGGCAGGGGCCCAGATTCGAATCTGTAATCAATAAATGTTTGCTTGCTCTAACTAATTATGAGTCGGTGGTCTGTCTCTGGGGAACTCGCTCCGTAACAGCATAGAGGCAAACGGACCCTCTGGCAAATCTCAACAAGACAACTCAGCGGGTCCAAATACACAATCACACCACAAACACAGACCTTCTGCACCACAAACATTTCCTTGGTCCTAAACAAACCTCTTCCTTCCTTCCTTCCTTCCTTCCTTCCTTCCTTCCTTCCTTCCTTCCCTCCCTCCCTCCCTCCCTCCCAGCAACGACATGACCAGCCCTTCCAAATACCCTCAGCCACTTCCTCCTTCCAAATCCTCACAACTCATCTCAACGACTTGGCACCCCGACGCTGCCCTTGCTCTCTCCACACAAAGGAACTTGTTGGACACATTGAAAATCACACCAGGACAGCTCAATGCATCACTTCAAATCCAGGCCTGCCTGACACATGGCGGAGGAAGGACAAACCAAAGTGGACCAAACCTCTAGGATTGGCCAAAAAAAAATAAAGGGACATGCCTACATGACACTCAGGCTTAACCATTCAAACTATCACAACAATACAGCAGTTCTGCTCCAAGCCACAGGGCCTGGGCTGCGCCCTCCGGGGGACAAACAAACGCTACTTCAAAGGGACTAAGAGATTTCGCAATTACCTCAGCTCACACACAAAAGGACAAAAGCCTCCATCCACATGCAAATCCATCTTCCTCAGGGAACACAGGGCCCGAGGACAGCACCAACCACTACAAACTCCTTTGCAATTCAAGGCTTGCCTTGGCGTGACATCCTCACGGGGGACTTCCGCTTCTTCCCTTGCTGACACCGCTGCAAAGCACTTCCCTCAGGGACTCATGCAAACCTGCAAAGGCCACATTCAACACATCCAACAAACAAACACAATGACCACAAACAGCCCATCTGCTTTCTCCTACGAAGACAGAGTTCAACGCACTTCCATGGCATCACGGACTCCAGATCAACACTCCATCCTGGCATTCAAACCACATCCTAGCAGGGGAGGGAAATGGGACATGGCAGATGCCAGCTTCTCTAATCGCAGCCACCAATTCATGGCACAAACCTGACATCCAACACCGACCCCATTGTCGTAAATGTTTCCTTCCACGTCCTGCGTGGTTCAGGGTTCGATATCTGGAAGAGGAGCCGCACACAAATGAAATAGAAAAGACAAGAGATAATTTGGAAATATTGGGGGACCAGGCAGGTAAGTCCAACTCAAGAGGAAGGACTTCCACCCGTGCTCAGTCTGCACCGACCTTTTATAGTCTGAAGTAAACAATGCAGTGGTTACCACAGTTACAGTTCTTGTGAGTTTCACCTGTTTTGATCATGTTTACACTCCCTGCACTTCCCTCAGCCCATTAGCTTCCCAGGTAAGATCTGGGGAGTGTTATAAGGTCAAGCCTAATTATGCTAAGAGGACTGAGCCCTCTAAGCTGGGACTTGTTTGTGACTTTGCCAGCAGGTCAGTCCAAGGCTCAACCCTATATCAGTTTCCCACATCTCACCCTTTTTTTTTTTTTTAATATATTTTATTGATTTTCCACAGAGAGGAAGAGAGAGAGACAGAGAGTCAGAAACATCGATGAGAGAGAAACATCGATCAGCCGCCTCCTGCACATCCCCCACTGGGGAAGTGCCCACAACCCAGGTACATGCCCTTGACCGGAATCGAACCCGGGACCCTTCAGTCCGCAGGCCGACACTCTATCCACTGAGCCAAACCGGTTTCGGCACCCTTTTTTTTATTATTATTATTAGCTAATATAATGAAAATAAAACTTAAACATCAAGAACAAAACTCTGGCTATTAAAACAATAACAAAACAATGCCAATCCATAACCCAAACATTTTAAAACTTAAACATAACATTTTAAGAACAAAGAATGTTCAAATCCCAATTTCAATGTCCAACAGTTCTGAGTCCAAGTTTCAATGTCCGACAGTTCCTTATGTGTACATGTCAGCAATGATATTTCAGTTCTGGATGGTGGACAAATGATGACAATGCAGGTCCGAACTTCTCTGGTTTGATCCTGGGCAACCTGCAGTGACGCACAGTTGCTGACTGCTAGCATGGCAAAGCGTCTTCAGCGTCTTCCGTCCCTGGATTGTTTTTCCTCTTGTCTTCATGGCTGGAGAATTCCTGAGAATTCCTCTCTGTTGCAGGAATCCACATGCTCTTGAAGTTGTTTTCTGAAAATATACAAACCTATTCTCAACCGAAGGTTAATAAAGGGAATTTAACTTGGGGTCCTTTTTATATTTTCCCAAATTATTTTCCTTTGGCTTATTTTGACACCATGTATGTTTTTTATGGGTGTCTTGCTGTTAGCATTATAGATGAAAAAAAAATTTCCAGATGTAAATTAGTTACAGGATATTTTTCCTTACATGGTATTTTTCTACTATCCCCCCCTTTTTTTTATTTAATTATTAGGAGGCTTTTGGAAAATTTTTATAATGCAGTCTAGATAATTTTTAATTTTTTGCACAAAAATATGACTGCTTTAAGTTCATTGCATGTTAAGCAATTTTACCATGAAATGAAAATTTTGGTTAATACTACTTATTTCCATTACTGTCAAAATTAATACTCTAACAACAATCTTAGGTTACACTGTAAATATTAATGGAAAAGATTATTTTGCATCCTTGAGGAGGCCCTGAGCATTCCTGGTGTTAGTCTGGATTTAGATATAGGGTAGCTGTTGTTAGCCAAGTCTCTGTTTTCTGGGTACCAATCTCAGCTGGGCCAAGTCTCTTTCTGTTATCTGGGTCCCGATCTGAGCTGGGCATGGGAAGCGCAGCAGCCATGGGGGCAGGAGACCTCCCTCAGAAGGGGCGAGTGTTCAAGCCCCTGCATAGTTGGGGTTGTGAGGATCTGTGCCCCACCTCTGTTGACCCCCAAGTTCTCTCCTGGTGGCCCCTCTGCGACTGTGCCTGTCTTAGGTCGCCCCTCCCAGAGGGGTCTTACCCGTCATTGACTAACCAGCCATCCTCCGGGGCCAAGCAGGGTGATGTGAGGTTCAGTTCTGTCTCCTTGGTAGCCTATGCCCCTGTGGCCTCCATGCCCAGCAACTGCCTTTGGATCCCCTCGCCTGCTGGCGGGGCCCCAGCATTGATCATGGGGAACCCAGGTTTCTTCTCCAGAGAGGGCCCAGCTCATGCCGTTGGGCGAGAGACAGATCCATGGTACCAGCCATCATGAGGCTTCAACCTCAGCATGAACAGAGAGCTCAGGCAACAGCTGTGGGCAATTGGATTGTAAGAAGAGGGACCCTCTTGGCAAAAAGGGCGAGAGAGGTCAGTACAGAATGCTCCAGTGCCTTCCCAGGGGGCCTTCCACACAATGGAAAGGATTAAATCATTTCATGTCCTTCCAAACATTCAAAGAATTAGTTTGTAAGTTTGTTTGGGATAATGTACAATATACTGTTGTGAAATATCAAAAATCATTGATGACCTTGTAGAACAATAACATGTAAGGATATTCGTTGCTCTAGGCGATGGCAATTCAATTTTAGACTGGAAATGACATTAATTAAATTTCTTCAATTAGTCTTTCAGTAACTTTACTCTAGCTATATTCAGGAAAGCAAAAACCCGATTTATTTACCTTTCTATATTAAACCTAGTACATTTAATTACAGTCCTCCAGATGTTTAAAGGAAAAACCCCTTTCTATTATTTTCTTGCAGAGTAATTTCTAATCAGCATCCTCATACTATTTCACTTCAAAATATCTAGGTATAAGTTTTTATCATTTGATTCCGTAAACATCAAGGTCCCAAGTTCCCAGTGGCTCTGGAAAACCACGCTTAAGGCTGGCAAACAGGCCTGGCCCAGCCCTTGACTTTAAAATGACCATGATTTTTTCTCTGGGGAAAGTCAAGAGCTACATTATTTCCTGCCAGTTGCTTGCCAGCGGGAAATTTCAAAATTGGCCATGCGATCGCAGCCTCAGGAAAAAACTGTTTTCCCCTGGTCTAACCTGGTCCATTTAAATGTCAAAGAGCTAAGCTAGTTTCTCCCTGGGCCACTGAACCTTCATAATTAATATATTTCAATAATTCCTGAGATTCAAATCCATTTATTGTTTTAAGGCATTTACTTTGGAAATCACTTTATTATGGAAAAATACCAATCTTGTTGCTAGAACCAGCCTGCATTTCTTCCCTCAGTCTAATTCGTTGTTTTTCTTAGGAAATAATCAGTCTTGGGTTTTATTTCGTACATTTGCAAAGAGATTCCAGCTCAAAACTCTATCTAAATGTCCAAAATCAGACGATGCGCACATTAGTTTTAAGCCAGCTTTTCTCTTTACACATGCACAAAAATCCCAGACGCATTTTTAAATTTTGTAAAATTTTTCAATTCCCCACATGCTTTGGGGGGAGTTTCCCTAGGTAATATTACCGTACAGATGATTACCACTGGCATGGCAGGAAAGATGTTCTCAGACGTCAGGCGTCTGTACCATCTTCTTTACCATGCCTCGGGTGGTCTCCAGGCTGTTTGTTGTCCAGCTTGTCCTCCTCCTGCTGCTCAGCTTCAGTAGACTGCTTGGAGTCGCTGCTCTCTGTGGCTGAGGTAGTGGATTGTCTGCAACTGCATGGTGTGGCTTCAGATGCAAGGTCCTCATTAGTCTGTGTAGTTTCTCTCTTGGATCCCTGTTGCAGTTTAATATTTCTAGCAGGAATCCACACGGGTTTTGAAAAATTCTCTGGGAATATACAAGCATACCCTCTGCCAAAGGTTAATAATGGGTCAGGTTCCTTCCATAAACCAGATTCGGGATCCTTCCATTTAACTAGACCACTTTCTTTTGTTTTATTCTGACACCAATGTAGCTCCATAGGTGTCTTTCCATCAGCATCACAAGTGAAAAAATTTAAAGTGATTAAGGCTTGGTGCAACCTACCCATAGGTGATTTCTCCACCATCCCTCCTTGTTGTTTTTCAAGTTGGGATTTTAGCCGCTGATGCTGTCGTTCAATAATGGCCTGTCTTTAGGAATTATATGGTATTCCTGTAATGTGCTGAATTTTCCACCTTTTACAAAATTCCTGGAATTGACAACTTGTATGAGCAGGTCCATTATCAGTTTTAATAATTCTTGGAATTCCCAAGACGGCAAAAGGAGTATAATGTGTCACATCCATTTGCCAGATATGGTCCCTTAGCAAACCTCTAGGGTTGACTCCTGTGTTAGGCCCTTGAGATAGATGTAACATGCAAGTGGGGCCTTCCTTGATAATCTTTTTTGCCTGATGTAATAAAGCTAGTCTTTTTTGCGGGCGAGCCAATAGCTCTGCTCTCTCCTGCCACCTTTGAATCTCTCCACACCTGAGGTGGATTCGGCAGGAGGGTTTCATTTCTTATTACAGATTTTAGATTCCAAATATAAATTAAGATTTTAATTTGAAAAAGAAACCACATTAAGATGACCATGGCGCTCTATTTTTCAGCCTGACTTAAAAGAGTACCTTTTAAATATTCCAATTTCTTTATAATCTGGCATTTTTGCACAGGTGATTCTATTAACAGAGAATTAATTAGGACATGGAGGTGGAGGGAGCCATGAAGGCTATTCCTCCTATTTTTTCTTTTCTTTCTGCTCCTCTTAAGGAGTGGCGGGTGCAAGGGGGAGGAGATTTATCCTCCTTGGTCTCTCTCAAAGGCTCTAGCAAATTAAGTACCGTGTTTCACAAGGAAAAACAGTTTGGAGGCAAGTTTTTCCCTGCTGCTGACCTTTTTTCAAGTTCTAACTTTTTGGCAAGCACTTAAGATCTAACGTACCTTTTTCAAGAAACCAAGGGTTATATAAAGCAAAAATTTTATGAGATTACAGTTTCTTACTTTTTAAAAGCCAAATCTACTTTTTTAAAGCCGAATCCTGCCCCGTTAGCCTGGTTGAGAAAACATTCCCACACCACCTACAGCTCCGGACTACTGTAGCTGATTGTGGCCGTTTGTGTGCGGTGAAATAACCCCTCACCTTTATGGTGACTTTTCCTACCTTTACGGTGAATTCTTCGTTCCTCACTTTTGCCAGTGAAACTTCGTTTTTTCGCTCTAGCAAAACCTTCACTTCCAGAGTCCCCCTCGGGCGCCAGATGTCGTAAATGTTTCCTTCCACGTCCTGCGTGGTTCAGGGTTCAATATCTGGAAGAGGAGCCGCACACAAATGAAATAGAAAAGACAAGAGATAATTTGGAAATATTGGGGGACCAGGCAGGTAAGTCCAACTCAAGAGGAAGGACTTCCACCCGTGCTCAGTCTGCACCGACCTTTTATAGTCTGAGGTAAACAATGCAGTGGTTACCATAGTTACAGTTCTTGTGAGTTTCACCTGTTTTGATCATGTGCACTTCCCTCAGCCCATTAGCTTCCCAGGTAAGATCTGGGGAGTGTTATAAGGTCAAGCCTAATTATGCTAAGAGGACTGAGCCCTCTAAGCTGGGACTTGTTTGTGACTTTGCCAGCAGGTCAGTCCAAGGCTCAACCCTATATCAGTTTCCCACACCCCATCACAGGGACTCACCCAACATACTCAAACACCTCGGCACATGTGGGCTCACAAACTCAAGCCTGCACAGGCACAGAGGCACAGAGTGGGGGACGGTGTTATGCAAATGCGAGTGTTGGTGGGGCCACCGACCCTCCCTCCTCACATGGCTGACGGACCTCACCCCCCACCATGCCAGGAGGACCCTTCACATGCTTCACCTGGGAATCCCATCCTTTTCTCAAACACTCACACACCGAGCCTTTGCCACCTCACACATCACACAATTCCATGGCCCACCGACAAACCAACCCTCCACAAAACCAGCTCCTCGGAACATGGGGGACTGCTGGCCTCACTCAAAACATGCTGGGCTGTGGGGGAGCAAAAAAATGCACAGCACAATGGACAGGGGGTCCACTGGACTCAGGGTACATGACAAATGGCAAGACACCTTTTTCCTTAGCACCAGCTGAGCTGCCATGTGGTCACACTCAAGCAACCATTTCGGGGGGATGCAGGCAGGCTTATGCATTTGGGACCATTCGGCTCCATGGAAAAAGCACAGGGGCACACACTGGGACGAGGGACATGGCCACAACACAACCAAGCCGGGGCGCTCGCATCTCCATCACACAAGGGAACACCAACACTCGCATTTGCATAACACAAAAAAATGCAAATACCCTGCAAAGGTCAACACTTACAAAAAAAAAAGACAAGGAAGCCCTGCATTCACATGCAAAACAAGAAAGCCCACAGCGCCCGAGGGGGACAACCTCACCAGGCCCATGGATACAAGGAACCAGCACAGTGGCCACACATTCCCGGATATCACCTCTCCTGGCCACTGCAGCTTCCATGGTGTGTCTGGCCCTCGCTCTGTCTGACCCTAGGTCTGTGTGTCCCTCGGTCACCGACACCAGCTCAGTCTGCTCGAATCTTCTTAGTGGGGGGGGACTCTGGGAGCAGTGACACAACGCAGCAGACAGGAACACCTGCACGACCCTCCTCTGTCCATTTCCCACCTCCTTCACACCTCACTTTCCCCTGCTCCTCCGGGCCTCACCCCTGAGAGCCTCGCCCTGACACGGTGGCTTGGGAGACCCTGCAAGGACCCTGCTAAAGTGGCCTCTTCCTGTTGTGTCAGGAACTTGGCAGCTGAGGGAGGGACACTCGAACATTTTATTTTTATCTTATACACACATTGTTAGGTTAGATGGCTCAGGAGGCGGCGCAAGAAATAGAGTCCAGTGAATCAGAAAAGGAAAGGAAAAGGTTTATTCTGCGTCCCCGGGAGACCCACGTACCCCAAGGACAGGGCACGTGGATTCACGCCAACAGGAAGGGGGGCGCTTTTTTTATACTGCAGTTGGGTGAGGGGCGGGGACATGAGCTAAGGAATTCTCTGGCACCTTGATCTGTGAGAAATTCCAGGGGAAGTCCATTATCTTGTCATGTCTGCATGTATCCGATCCTGGGCTCTCTCCGACCTAACACACATCACGTGGAAAAACAGCAGAGCTGAATGCTCTGCTCATCATACTGCCTTTCTTGGCGGATATGGTGCTTTTAACACCCTCCAAATCTTTTCCTGCTTTGTATTTTTTTCGTGTGTATGTTTTGCTTAATTCTTTACAGAGGACATGTTTCACCATTCATTTTCTTAGAGAGCATGGAAGGGAGGGAGCGGGAGGAGAGAGAAACAGAAAACAAACAAGCAAACATGAGTATGCAACAGACACATGCATCTTTGGCTCCCACAGGAGCACGGACAGGGGCAGGCGATGAAACATGCATCCCAGGTATGTGCTCTGGACCAGGAATGCCACCAGCAACACTTCCCTGGGCATCCGAATGTCTAACCAGCGAGCAACACTGGCCAGGGCCTATTCCTTCCGCTTAGCAGATGACAACACATGTCACTCTTTCTTCTTGCACAAGGAAGGCAGCCAATCTACGGTGATCACTCATCATTCATGCTTCTCTCTTCCTTTCTGAAATAGGACAAATAAACATTTCTAAAGAACACACTGTAGCCCTGACCGCTGTTGCTCAGTGGGTAGAGCGACGGCCTAAGAAATGAAAGGTCCCTGGTTCGATTCCCAATCAGGGCACATGCCCTGCTTGTGGGCTCGATCCCCGGGGGGGGTGGGGGACAGGAGGCAGCTGATCCATGATTCTCTCTCATAATTAATGTTTCCATTTCTCTCCCTCCCTCTCCCTTCATCTCTGAAATCAATAAAAAATAGTTTTAAAAAACTCACTGATGTGTCTACAAAAACCTTTACATTGAATTTTTTTCTCGTGGTAAGAACACATTCACATGAGAACCCTGCATCTGGAGGTGCCATCAACAATCACAGCCTCCCTGCTACTGATGGCATCAGTAATAGCAGCCTACAGGGGAAGGACTGCCTCAGGAATGCCCACCTCTAGGCTACTCATTGCATCCATCAGTGCAGCCGCAAGGGGACTGGCTGAGAGGCCGCTGAGTCTAGCGGGAATAACACCTTCTCCCGATACCCCTGCACCTCGCTGCACGGTCTGGCTGCCTCCATAATGGGGTCATCCAAGGGACTGGCTGCCGCAATCACAACGGCCTCCGGCTGACTGGATGCCTCAGGAAAGGTGACCTGTCCAAAACTGGCTGCCTTGTGAAAGGCGGCCTCCCCAGAACTGACTGCTTCAATAATGGCAGCCTCTAGGTTACGGACTGAATTAGTGAACGCACAGCTTCCCTGTGTCACTGCAGCAGCCAAGGCCTCCCTTTCCAGGGATGGGACCGGAAGGGGTGCAAAATCCAGACCCCTGACTTCAGTCGATCCAGGGAAAAAAATAATGGCACCCTGGACAGCATCGATGCTTTCCAACGGTTTTCTGTGGTCTTTCTTTCTTGGTTTGTTTGCATTTTCTTAAAAACAATTTTTATTGATTATTTTTTTACACAAAGGAAGGGAGAGGGATAGACAGAGAAACATCGATGAGAGAGAAACATCGATCAGCTGCCTCCTGCACAACCCCTACTGGGGATGGGCCCGCAACCAAGGTACACTGGAATCGAAATGGGGACCCTTCAGGCCGCAGACCGATGCTCTAGCCACTCAGTCAACCGGTCAGGGCTGGTTGTGGTTTTTGGGGTACAAGTCTTCATCAAATTCAAACAACATTAGCTAACATTTCAGCACCACGGACAGAAGATGAAGGTGTTATTCTTTAAAAGGCCGCTAGAGGGCAGCAGAGGATACTTTTTCCAAAGGAATTGCCTGACAGCTTCTTGAAAGGTTTGTGTCATAAGTATAGACGTGCAGACATGGAATACTTCACCGAAACAACTGGTAAACAGTCACCGGGAAACTGGTAACCAGGAACATACGAACCAATAACCATTAGCCTAGTAAATACTATCAAGCAACCTAGTAGCTCATAAGTAGAAAATCAGTACCTAGTAACCTACTAACTGGCAACTAGGAACCGTCTGAACCTAGTTACCTGGCAACCAGTACCTGCTAATTAGTGACCTAGAAACTAGTAAGTGATCAACCTTAACCTAGTGCACTGGTTACCAGTACACCGGTAACTAGGAACCAGTAGCCAGTAACCTGATAGCTAGCAACCAGTGAGCTCAGTAAAGGCGACCTGTCCCATCCTCGCTGCATCGTTCACGGAGGACAGGCAGTACAAGCGGCCTCGAGAGCAATGAATGCCTCCACAAGGGCCAACTCCCCCGAGGTCGCCTGCACTCCTGAGACTTTATGACCGCGCTGTACAAACTTCCTGCCTCAGGAACGGCGGGCTCCAGCGAACACACCGCCAACGTAAGGGCGCACTCTCGAGACGTCGCCTGGTCTCGCGGAACTTTACACCCTCGCTGTACAGACTTCCTGCCTCACTAATGGCGGCCGCCACCGTACAGAATGTCGCACTCAAAGCAGACTGCAGGTCACACGGACGGCGGCCTACAGGGAATTCGCTGCCTCAGTATACGCCGCTGCAGCCTGCTGGCCGCCTCAGTAAACGCCACCTGCGCCGTACGGGCAGCCTCGGTCCCGGAGGCACCTCCGGACGGACGGACTCAGTAATGGCGAACTCCAGCGTACGCAGCGCCTATGTCGCGGCACACTCTCGCTAGGTCGCCTGGTCTCTTGGAACTTTACACCCTCGCTGTACGGACTTCCGGCCTCAGCAATGGCGGCTTCCGGGCCCCAGCCTGCCTCACTAATGGCAGCCGCCACCAGATGGAATGTCGCACTCAAAGCGGACTCCAGCAAGAACATACAATGGAGCCAAGATAGTCTCTTCAATAAATGGTGTTGGGAAAATTGGACAGATATATGCAAGAAAATGAAACTAGACCACCAACTTACACCATACACAAAAATAAACTCAAAATGGTTAAAGGACTCAAATGGACGACAGGAAACCATAAAAATTCTAGAAGAAGCCAAAGGCAACAAAATCTCAGACATATGCCGAAGCAATTTCTTCACTGATACAGCTCCTAGGGCAATGGAAACTAAAGAGAAAATGAACAAATGGGACTACATCAAAATAAAAAGCTTCTGCACAGCAAAAGAAACCATCAACAAAACAACGAGAAAACCCACTGTGTGGGAAAACATATTTGCCAATGTCATATCTGATAAGGGCCTAATCT